AAAGTAACAATAGGTGCTGTAACAAGCATGCAAAATACATTACCGTTCATTTTTTTTCCCCAAAAATATATTTTTTTCCCCCAAAAGAAATTAATACTTTTAGCAAGGATGTATTAAATGACAGCAAATACTTTTACGTTGTTCCCCAAAAAATATATATACATATTTGTTTTACTTTCTATCACAGTTTCCATTAAAATATTAAGTATCACAACTGTTTTCAACATTAAAAATAATAATGATCGCCAGTTATGGTCGCTGAAAATTCACCTTTACCATCTGAGGAATAAATTACATTTCGAAAAAGCTTTGTCTATGAAGGCTGCCAGCAAGCTTTTCCCTGTACATGTAGATAAGTAAGCAGATAGACACTTAATGGTGTCACAGAGGACCTGACAAGCGTTCCCTGCTGTGGAACAATAGAGCTAATTAGCCGTCATTTGATGTCCTGGTGAAGGGGGCTATTAGCAGAGGGAGAGCAGGGTTGAGGAAGTGTACTCCAGCCCAACGGCTAGCACGTCAGGAGCACACTCTGTGCCTCTGACAGCGATTAATTACCCTAATGGGGGGGCATACATCTCTGCTTATCGCACGCTGCACCCCACACAAACAGCGGGTGTCAGACTGGAGAAACGCTTGGACTATTAAAGTGCATCCTTATCGGAAACGCAGCAGCAAAAAATAAAAGATTACAGATGAAAACAACAAAGCCTTCCGCAACGTTAAGAGCACAGCATTCAAAAACCACCAGACAACAACAATAACGTGGGCTGGGGTGCGTTTCGTTCTGGTAATGTCACTAATAAAAGCACCAAATAATCAACAAAATACACAGCCGTTCAAAAGACTGAGGTTTGTGAGATTTTTTTTTCGGGGGGGGGGGGGGGGGGGGGGGGGGGTGGTAAGGTGTGTTTTTTTCTTATAAGAATCAAAGAGAACATGAGAGAGACCCAACAAAGACAGCCTGCAGTGTGTACATGAGCAGTCAGAAACATAACCACACCGCTCTGTGATTGTACCCACCACTGACTGCAGTCAGAACGCCACTGCTCTGATAGCACAGCGCTCAATGGACGGATGCTGTGTGTGTGTGTGTGTGTGTGTGTGTGTGAGGTGTATTAGAACACAAAAGTGCTGCACCATCAAGATGACACTGGTGATAACAGCTGAGCCCGAAAACAGAAAACAATCAAATTTCACCTTCAGACAGGTAGGTGCACGATGGAAAGAAAAATCGCTTGGTCTCTTTCTTGTATCCACAAGGATGCAGGGGTTGGACAAAGTAATATGAATGCTTGGAAAATAGATGATATTTCTTTATAAAGGTTATTTTCCACAATTTGCCTTTAATTTGGTGGTCCACTTAAGGCATTTTGTTGATTATAAGTAACTTAACTCTCATTACAGTATTAGTAGACTGTTAGGTTATGGTAAGTGCTTGTAGATTAAGCTGACATGTACTTGCATAGTTATTAGTCAGTAGAATGTCTGTTGGGGACCATCAAAATAAAAGACGCTTTTCCAGTGTCGGGCCGAACCATTCTTATTGCTTAACCGTTCCATTCTGGCCCAGGTGGCAAGTTTATGGTTTTGTTTTCCACTGTATGGTTGATAACAGAGCCTATAATACAAATGCATCACCCATTGCCTTGGTAACACAAGTGTTTACATACGGTATAAGATGTCAATAGCGATGACGTTATGGATGATGATCAGATGATTCTGTTTAGTTTGCTCAAATAGCGTGTTTGGCCTTCTACAGAGAGAAACTAGTAGCCATACAACAAACAAGTGACCAATCCTGAGTGGCGAACTGGCGATGTCCCTACATGCATTCTGCCTAAATGGTAATTGCACCGAAGCCCCTTTAAGACAAGTCATTTCACTCAGTGGCCATCTTTGAAACGCCTCTCGGGCATGCAAGTGCAGCTCCTATCTCTTTGAATGGGGAAACATCAAATTCTCCAAAACTGTTTGCTAAGCTTACGATTAAATTTCATATTTGAAATCACCAATGAATCTGACAACAACTGCCTCATGAATGTTGTTTCTTTTGCTCAAATAGTGTTAAAAAAAGCTTATTTTTCAGGATAGACCAGCCAGTGTGCATGCGCAGTCCTAAGTGTGCATCTCAGAACTCTGAATGTTTCTATAGCTACCGTGACTTCTAATGGCAGCTGCAGTGACGCGATTACTTTACAGATTAGTGATTGGCTCTTTTACTCAGAAGGCGGGGCTTCGTTCGATAGAGTGGCCATATTGAGCACTGCATTTTTCCCAATTCAAAACTATACGAGTGACATGTCTTGGGTATTCTATGGTATTTGATTGTACCAAGCTAAAATGGAAAAATAACTGGAACTGCTCCTTACCGTTCTTAAAGTCCCCATGAAATCAAAATTAAAGTTCTTTTGGGTGTTAGTATCAATATGTAAGTCTTAATGTTATCTATAAGGCAGTGTGCTCCAAAACAGTGACAAAATTCGCATTTGGAAGATATAAGCATTCAAAGCTTGCAGTTCGTCACTTCCGCCTAAAATGATTTTTTTGACGTCACATCGTACTTCAGCTTCTCATCAAAATTTCTGTCCAATCAAATGCTCTCTAGAATCCGAAGCGCCCGCCCCCTACACTATAAAATAGACGCTGAAGCCGCGGCTGAAATCGGTCACTTGTCCACAGAATTAGTATTCTCTGTACAGTGAATGGCACGTAGTGCACTATAGAGGGGACAGGGAACGATTCAAACAGTGTAAATATGCTTTCCATTGAGGAAAAAAAGAAGTCTGGTTTCGCGCTGTGTCACGCTAACCACCGCACCACACACACACTCTGCTCCGGCCAAGAGACACGATAGCACGGAGCGGATCACATGCACGAGTCGGCGCAGACCACAAAATGTATCGGAGCTATTTGAATTCTACACAGAATGCTATATTTTATAACAATATGGATGAGATTGTGGCTGGCATACCCTGTCAAATGCGGCTTTATGGCGCTCAACGGCTCTAGCCCAAGTTGTGATATAAACGAACGCTATTGGCTATTTTAAAAAGGGGCGGGGCTGCTTCATATGTCCCGCCCTGTCTTCTTGTTTCAGTTAAAATGACGTCAACACAGAGTAACGCTGCGTGTTTCTAAGCATTTCAGGGGACCTTTAAGT